ACTGGAATTACCCTGTGAAAACTGTGTCTGGCTTCCTCACTCTGCTCTAATAACAGAGTTAAATGCATGACTGGTGTACAGCTGCAACAACTCGCCATTTTAATTAATACCGACATCTGGTAGTGTGTGTGGCTGATAAAGAGACAGAGGCAGAAGCACAGCGTTATCTGGTCATCATATGATGTCATTTAGTGAAATTCTACAGTTTGTCTGTCAGGCTGAAGAGTTGCACAGCAGACTGACTTTAGTAACTGGAGACTGGAGTCTGCTGACAATAAAGACCAAACAGTCGGGTGACAGATGAACTTACAGCCCAACATAGTGTGTCAGTAAGGTGCCACCACAACACTGACTCTCAATGTCTCTGGGACTCTGCTACTAGGAGGACTTGCAGTGACCTTCTCTCCAAGAGGACACATGGAGCCAAACCATGCCCCACACAGCAGAACAAAGCCACTGGATTCCCTCAATGTACAGGCCAAACATTCAGGTTTGATTTGTCACCCGTCTGTATGTGGGTCTAATCACATCTGCTGGATAAAACTGTCTTGTTTAGGAGAATTTCTTTCCTCGTGTCATTGCAGTTTAGCGCAGACACCTGTGCAGACTCATTGACTGTCCTGACTGCTAGGCTCAGTATACATAACGCGCATGCAGGTCAGACTTGTGGCATGTTGAAAGGGAAACCAGTGCATGTCTGATACAGTTCAATCTCTGCTCTTGCTTGTTTCACATATGGACATTTGTTGAGTCCCTTTCCTTTTGCACACACATCAACAATAGTGGAATAACAAGAGGAAAACCAGGGTGGTTACAATGAGCAACAGCGCCGCCTGTGGGGAGTCGAAGCTTAAGACGTTAATCTGCTATAATTAAGAGGTAATTTCTGGGAAGTGTGGAGCCAGTTACAGCCAGATAATTATAACAACTCGCAGATTATCTCATTAAAACTGCATTTCACATGCAAAGAGCTTTGGCAGGTCACTCCAGTCAAGCCACCAGGAGCAATTCGGGGTTCAGTGTCTTGCTCAGGGACACTTAGGCATGCGGGGAGACCGGGAGTCGAACCACCAACTTGCTGGTCAGTAGACGACTGCCCTACCTCATGAGCCACAGCCACCCCCTGGAAGTAAAACACAGCAGTGTGTGCGTGATGCTGGAACAACAGGGGTTCCCCACGGTGCGCTAAACGCGACTTGACGAGCTTCCTGCTGCTGTGAAGTGAAAGCTGCCGGCAGCCGTGCAGCTGTCAGGCCAGCTGATCGTCCATTACCGCCTGTTAGTGAGCTAGCAGCAACATGCTTCCAGGCTGAGAGAGGGTGCGTTTACATTAGGACTGTCATCAATTAAGACTTTTTAGGTCAGCCCAGACTCCTGGGACGTTATCAATTTTAATCAATTAAAAAGCCAGTTTCACAGATAAATCTCCAGATTCACCACTCAAGAGATTACATGGACTTTTAGTAACTATCTAGAGACAAGTGTCGGAAATTAGATCACTCAGAATTAAAGTAAACATCAGTTAGTCATGTACACTGACCCTGACTTGTGAAATCTGCCAAGAAAACTCCTTCTGTGTGCACTCTGTCATGTACTGAACGCTCTGCCAAGATCATTTAAATTTGATTTAAAAGCCGTGTTATAAATTAAGTTTTAACAACTCAGCTGGTGGATTTTAGATTCAAGTTAGACATGTGATTCACTTTTTCACAAGAAAATTAGAGGCAAGTGAACATGCACCAAATCCTTTACTTTAGCAAGCAAAGGAACTGAGAGGACATAAACAAACGACAGTGAAGACTAAATGAGAAGGAACAAGAGGAACTCAGAGATGCTGAGGTGGACAGTTGATATCCGTCACTGGAGGCCTGGACTGAAACAAACTGAGGGCTCAAACAATACTTCTCTTTCTTTTCCATCCAAATCTGGTATTTGGGGAGGGAGACGTCAGTGAATTAATTCTGGCCATCCATCGTGGGGATGACAAGCGAGCAGTTTGCGTGAGGGGAAGGCTAATTGAACGCTGTGTCGAAGCCCTCCTGATGGGTAATATCTTTCATTATTCACCTCCCCGGGCTTCATGACACACACGTCGCCTCTTATTTTACCTTCAGGAAGGAGGGGTTGGGTGGTAGCCATGACAGCTCACAAGGCCTCCACATGGGAGAGATAAATACATCCTCAGATATACTCTCTCCTCTCTGCACCAAGGCACTTCTCCATCCCGGTGAAGTATTGTTGGGTAGTGCTTAGGAAAAGGTCGCTAGCTTAGGGGGGCGAGGAGATGAAGTCATCTTTCATGCATCTGAAAACGTCCAAGGGGATTAGTGCGGTTTGTGGGTTCTTCTTTGCAGAAAAAAACAAACAAGCATGAGCTGTGCTCAAAAGGGATGTAAGAGTCAGGGATGTAGGACAGGCAGCAAACAGGAATGGAAGCACATCTTTATATCAGAAATGCCCCAAACCAC